AAAAAAAAAAAAAAAAATCTACATACAAAGCCTAATAAATTGTTAATTGCTCACTATTTTTTCCATATAGGGTTCGATGCATTTCGCAGTGGTCAGCAATAATACGACAAAGTTCCATATATCAGTAAGAGAAAAGGAATTCATAATGGCTGTTGCGGCTAATTATCAAAATTCGAGTAGTGGTTTGCATTGGAAAACTTGCTATGATGCAGTATTCGGCAGTTTAGAGACCGTAACGCTCGAAGCTAAAGCTGTATCATCGACAGAAATCGCCTTAAGGTGGCGTTTAGAGGAGACTTGTGTTAATGCTTTTAATGGTTACAATGTAACGTATTGCCCCGTAGAAAGTGAAGGACAGCAGTGTAACGATTCTGAGAACATAACTATTAATTTTGGTGATCCAGGAATTCAGGAAATCACTTTAAAAGGATTGCACACGTATACCTTCTATCGCATCACAATGCTCTTGTATGCTAAAGATGAACGCAGGGGTCGGCCCAGTGAGTTTATATTTTGCCGTACAATGGATGCAGGTGAGCTTCGGATTAGTACATACATATATGTATACATAGTATTTTTTCTTCTTAAATTGCATACACACATATACAGTTGTCCACAAAAGAATAGCAGTGCGATATTTTGACCAGTTTTGGCTATAAGTCTTTTGTTTATTTAATGTTTATTTATTTTTATAACTAGCTAGTTATACAACAGACACCATATAAGTAAATATGTAAAATCAGATTTCACACTTTGTACAAAAATAATATAAAAAATCTCCAAATTTTCTCCAAAATTATATAATCAGAATCCTTAGACAAAATTTTGGTATGCAGTTTTCTAGTATCTGAAGTGCAAATTTCAAGCTGCTAATTTTTGTAAATTTTTTTTTGCTAGCAGAGTCCTCCATATAAAAAAAAATTGTCGAACATACTTTGTATGGAAAAAACTTGAAACATCATAAATTCTCAAAAATTAACGGGATTTTGTAGCAACTTGAAACTTGCACTTTATTATACTAGAATTAAAGGGGCTACAAAACTGCATACCACAATTTATTCTAAAGATTCTGATTAAAAGGTCTCAAATTTTGGTGAAAATTTGCAAAGTTTGGAATCTAAATTTATATGATGTTTGTTGTATAGGCAGCTAGACTTTAAAAAAAAAAATAATACAACATTAAATAAACAAAAGACAAATAGCCAAAACTGGTTAAAATATCGCACTACTATTATTTTGTGGATCACTATATGTACATGTGTACATATTTACCTTCATGCATAAATGTTTTCACTATTGCAGCTCCGTATCCACCTACTGATTTAAGATTTGAAAAAACTTCCTTAACAAGTAATTCGGTAAATATTTCTTGGGTAGCGCCGAAAGTCACTAATGGAAAAATTACAAAATATACCGTTTGGTAAGTGTGAAATGAAAAATTCTCAACTTTTCATTTATGTAAATTATAATTGCAATTAAATTAGGTATTTAAGGAAAATTAGGGGAAACACTACAAACGACCCAACGCAGACGGATATTCCAATAGGTGACCGAAATGTCACTAAGTTCTCTTATAAGTTGAAAGACCTTAGCAGTTACTCGCCGTACAAAGTGTGGGTAACGGCGTGGACATCAAAGCAATCAAACAAAAGTGAATCGTTGAACATTAATACCTTAATGGGAAGTAAGTAAAATTTCAAACTTTAATAGTGTTAGAGCATTTGCTTGTTTGATTTAGCATCGTTTTTAATGTGGAAAGATTACTCACATTCGGCAGTTAACATAAAATTTTTGTAATTTTTTTTTCAATTTTTATACTGGCGAATGTTAGTTATCTCTTCACTATGAAATCCGCTCTCGAAATAGTTGCGTTTTTTTACAAACTAAGCAGTAAAAAACGAGTAACTATTTTAACGGCTGGCGTTTTCGGATGCCAAAATTTGCAAGAAACTAGCAAAGTAGAGGAAATTGAGAATAAGAAAAACAGCTGCTGGCATTGATGCTGAGTGCAATTCACTCTTATAAAAAAATTACATAGTTGCGATCCTGAACGAGTCCCGACTTGTCAGAACTCGTCAGATTTTACTGGAAATTGATCCCCTACTCGGTCCTCTGACAATTGAGAGGACAAAAAAAGAGCGTAAATAAGGTCCTCTCTTTGTCAGAAGGTACCAATTTTAGGCCAAAGATTTTTTGCTGGTAAATTCTGGTAAATGTGTCAAACGATCAGCTGTAGTGTGTGTTGACAACTGTAAACAAAAGAAAAGTGCACTCTGCTAATGAATGTTAAAAAGTATTTAATTACTTGTTTATTGTTGATTATAATGAATTTGAAAGAATTTTCGATTATTTACATGTGTGAGCCGAGTGTGTTTGCATACAAAATTAGCAAAAATTTTCAACCAAAATTTGAAGGTTAGGTGGAAGTTGTCAGAAGTTACCATTTTTTACTAGAAAGCGAACTCGTACTTTTCAGTGTTACTCTCTCGCTCTGAGCGAATTTTTATTTTTTGACAGTTTTATTAGTTTTAGTTCGAGGAATACGGGAGTCTTCGGGTATAATCTTGCAACTTCTGACAAAGAGAGTACCGATTTTACTCTCCCATTTTTCCTCTACTTTGGCAGAGAACCGAGTACGGGAACGCTTTCTGGTAAATTCCTGTAAATTCTCGCAACTTCTTGCGAGTTAGGAAACGGAACTTTTGAATACATACATACATATTTTCAAATCTTAATATTTTTTTTTTAATTTTTTACTCTTCGACTAGGACCATCGGAACCACTCGATGTGGACCTTGACAGAGATGACGGTTATTATACAGCCAAATGGACAGACCCCGTAATGCCATCAGGGCTTGTAGAGCTATACGAGCTGAAATTCTTTGATGGTGATAAAGTGAAGCTAGCTTATATACAGCGGGGCTCAAAGAAGACACATCGATGTCGCTTTAAATATCCTGGTTGCACGGGTGCATGGCACAAAATGGAGGTGCGCGCTATCAATCTGGTGCCAGAAGATCAATTTGATAATACTACATTTACCGTAGAGCCAAAGACAGTACAACGACAACGCCGCCATAGTATGCCTACGATCAGTACCGGGGCAGTATTTCATCAATCACTAACTAATGGTGAGAAAAAAAACAACATTATCACGCCGCTGCAACAGGATTTTGAATGTGAACTAAAAGATGAAGACATCAAAACGAAAGTTCTTACTATACCTGGCGTAATACCGCTTGAGTCGGCGGCGGCAGGATTATCTCGCAATACATACAAATGTCCGAAGTTTCCCTATGAGATACTGGTGGCTTCATTGATTTTTGTCGGCATGTTTATTGCTACAGTATTTTGGGTAGGCAATGACATTCGACGTCGCGCGAAATGTGCTGTTCTACTTCCTGATCCAATTGTCACACTAATGAGTAAAATACCAGGCAATCTTACTGACAACCAGCCGCCGATGAACGATTCATTCAGCAAATCTAATGATTTTGACTCTTCCAAAAATCCAATTCAAAGTACAAATAAATTTGATTACGATAGCGCGTTAACGCCTAGTAATAGTAGTGAGAGTGGCGTAGACGGTGTTGGCGCCTGCGATAATGTAAGTAGCAGCAGTAGTCGCGACAATGTCGACGACACGTATTTCGATCGGTTTGGACCAATAGATACACTAGTTTCATCAGCGAGCAATACCTCACTGAATGAGAGCAGCCTTTCCTCGCATCAACATTCCCCATTGCAACGGAAAAATGCACACAGCGCGCCTACGCCAATGAGAAATGATGGTTACAAAGGTGTCAACCAATTAACAGGCATTGGAAAACCAGTTAGCGATGAGATTAGCGCTTCCAGTTACTCATCATCATATATGCCCCTGCACTCGATTGCGCCAAAGAGTCCATTGAATATAGAGTCGCCGGTTAGTGATAATGGAAATGTTGGAAATTGTATAGCCTTAGCTAAAGAAACTGATGCCGCAATGGCGCTGGGACCAGCAAAATCTGCGATGTTCAACAATTACCTACCACATAATTGCATGCAAGCAAAACCTAATCTCTTAACGAATTTTACGCTTGCAACTGGTGATTATGTGCTACCCGATGCATTGCCTAAGGTAGTTGTAAATAATATTCGCATTTAAGATAAAAATAAAAATAAAAATTTTTCTTTTTCTTTTTACAATTGTACACTATCAGATTGCACCAGCACAGGAAGATAATGAAGAAGCTCAAACATCATTACAGCAACAAAAGAATAACCCTATAGTTTCATACGGTTATGTTACATCCGATTTTTGGTCACAACAAAATACATTGAAATGAATCTCAACAAATCGAGCTTTAGGAAAATATTATCGAAGCAATGCTGCCAAGAAGAAGAAGGACAAGATCAGCTACGTTTGACTCATGTAGAGTTCAATAGAAAGAAATTGATGCGTTGATAAGCATGGAAAAATACAAAAGAGAACATCGTTGTACTAAATGTTATTTTTATTTTTTTTTTTTAGATAATATTTAAGAGAAAAATATTCACTTTTAATGCATTAGTAAAACTAATGAAGCCAAAGGCTTGCATACGAGTTGAAAATAACTTTAATTCGATGACTTGTGCGACTGATTTATTGTTTTTATATAAATTTACTTGATCGGTAACATGTATACGTATAGATGTACATACATACATACATACATACTTATGGCAATTATCAATGCAAAAATTCCTAAATTGAAATTTTACGCGAGAAGCTAAGAACGTTTAAAACTTACACAGTAAATATTTTTTTAAATATGGCTTTGAATTTTCTTGGAGCAGTGTACATAGCTGATAGCCAACTAATGTAAATAATAATAATAAAAGTAAGGCCTTTTGCATTGATAATTGTTTTAATTTAGGTAACAAGTGTTGAATGTTGTAGGACTTTGAAATCAAGGTATTTGCAATATGAAACCAAAAAACTGGTATACTTATCAAATTAAATACACTGTAGGAATGCTAAAATGACACAAAAAATGACGAGACACGTAAACTTTATTTTGGTTCGTAGATTACGGATCCGTACACCATTTTTTCTAGATCAGGCCATTTTTCCAAGATATTTTCATTTTATGTTTGCATTGCGAATGTAATAAAATTCATACTTTAAAATGGAAAATGTTACTCATGCGCCATGTACGTGGACGACCATATACGATATTTATATCGAGCCCTAACCGCCAAAAAGATGTAAGCAATATTTTTGTTTATTTATCCATAGATTGTCATCGCTAGGAGCTTGATTTTTTGCAAAAGAACAGGCTTTAATACAAATGTAATACAAATTGCATTTTTTTTCTTTAAATTTTTTCATTGTTTGAACTATTTTTTTTTTTTATAAAAATTACAATACTATATATTGGGAGAATTGCCTTATCTGGAAAAAGGTATACAGATCCATAACCTATGGCCCAATATTAAGTTTCCGTGTTTCGGTGTTTTTTATGTAATTTCAAAACATAAAATTTTCCCTACAGTGTTATTTGTAAAATATTTGGATACATGTGTACATACATACATACATATCATCACATTCAATGCAAAATGTCCTATGCCAGTAGATAATTTCAGGAGCTAAAAGCCCTTCCATAAGGCCTTCTTGAGAGTCGAGAGGCTTTCCACTCTCATTTTTGTATGGAGTGGCATAAATTGAAGGCCTTCTGCTCTCGCTGCCCATATAAGGGCTTCCAGAAGGGTTTTTGTAAGACGTATTTCAGAACGCCTTTTGGGGGAGTTCTTATAAAACTGCTTCATATCAAATTTTTTTTTTTAAATGTAAAGTACATATTTTAATTTATTTGTAATATTAAATGATATAAATTTACGCGTTCGCGTAAATTGCAAATAGAAAAAGACCTTCTAGAAGCCATGCAGGCAAGCACTTTTTTCAGTCCTTCTTGGGTAGGCTTTCACAATGGCTTCAATTAAGAAAGCCTACCTAAATTATCTGCTGGGATTTGTTTAAGATACATAAGGCCAAGGTACAGTGAACAGGTAGTATCAGTAGAGCAGCTGATTTGATTTATTTTCAAATTATTTGGTCTCGAAAATGTCAAATTTTTAATTTTTTCTCACAAAAATTCTGAATTGTTAAAATCCATTTGCATGTGAAACCTTTTTCCATACAAAACAAGCGATTGAATAGCAGCTTTTGGAACGTTCGCCCAACTCGGCAGCACGACCGCTGCTTACTGGGCCTTGCAAAGAATGGATCAATGCTTCGAGAAGCAAACAAATTTACTAGGAAAGAAAGTTGCATCAATTTTTATTTTTTCCAATTTCAATTTTTTATTTTTTATAATTTTTTGTATTTCACATGGCACGCTTTGATTTAGAAGAAAAAATTCAGAACAGTTTTTGACACTTTCGATACCAGAAGCAACAACAAAATACACGCAAATGTTGTTTTTGCTCTACTGATACTACCTGTTTAATGTGCCTTGCATAAGGCGTTGTATTTTTTAAGATAGATATGACTTACAAATTTCGATATGTACGCGTTTGTATGTAACTGTGGGGAAATTGAAGGACCTATAGAAATAATAAATATTGCATTTATTGCCTTTTAAATTAATGGTGAGTGACGATATGTATGTATGTATATGTGTATTTGTATACATTCACATTAGAAGTTATTTATTTATGCAAGTTTCTTGTGCGTGCAAACAAACAATGTATTTAAGTTCCTTACTGTTTTTGTAATATACTCAAATGCTATTCCAAACATTCACATATACGTATCTTTATACAATGTATATATACTACATACATGTATGTATATACATACTACATTGAAAAGTTCAAATTAAATACATCACATCTATAGTTTACCCTAGTATAATAAATAGTATAAGTTATACATACATATGTATGTACATGTTTTATTCTTAAACGATATTAACGAATTTACATATTTGTTTTTTGAGCCAGGCTAGCGCTTTTCTTGTTGCACATTTTGTATGGAACCCCCACTTGTCAATATGTGGTGCCCTATAATTATGACACGGGGTGTACATATGTGGTGAATTATCAAAACTATACGACACTCACATATTGACAAGTTTTGGCAATCTTTTTTTTTGTTTTTTTTTTTGACAGTGTCACTCCCGTCTGCAGCTCAAAAGAAGGAAATGTTTTTCATTATTTCTGCTGCTTGAAAAATAACTTTGCTGTTGCTGTAATTTTATTTCTTCAAGAAAATTTACAACAACGCAAAGTACTTTTTCAAGCAACAGAAATAATGAAAAATATTTCTTGTGGTTTTCTTGAGAACTGCAGATGGCCCCTTTATACAGTATGTATGTACATACAAAGTATATTCGCGAAGCATATCCAAAACTTTTCCAAAAAGTTCTGAATAAAAAGCGTGAAAGTTTGATGAAACTTAGTTGATTTTCATCAATTTTTGTAGAGAGTTTGTAACTTGGATTTGTGTGGTTTTTGTTATAGAATGAACTGTATTTTTATAAGAAATAATTAGAATGAAATAATAAAAAAATAAATAGTCAAAACATTTCAATATGTGGGTGTCGTATAGTTATGATGAGCACTTTGAATTTTTTTATGTACGTCTGAGAAGTCTGTTGCGCGGTATATGGCAAATACACACAAAAATTTCGAAACATTAAAATGCCAAAATGTTTAGAAATATCTTTTGAAAATGAAAGAGGATTTCCATTATATTGTTGAAATTATAATATGCAAGCATGCGAAGTGCATCCAAAAATTAGTTACTTTTTTCATTTCAAACAATAGCCAATTAGTAATAAAAAAAACTATTATTCATCACACTTTTGATATTTATAAATACACACGCCTATGAAAAATTAAACAGTACTAGTTGATTCCGAGTTGTATGTATATGTACGAGTATATGTATGTATTCGCACATATCGTTACCTGCAAAAAAGTCGGTAGATTACTCTCTAAAAAATTAAACGAATTTAAAATCAATAGTCTTATTAAGTCTCTGCACAAAATTCCTTGTGGTTTAAAGAACAAAAGGAATGCCGCATTATACTAAAGCCAGCTTCCCGACATAAGCTACTATTCCATACGGACACAGATTTGTATTGCAAATTTTATATATTTATACTGCTAGTATCAATGAAAAAGAGAGTAAGCTTATTATACGAAAATAGATAAAAATGCAGCAAGCTCAAATGTTTTTAGCCGAATTTATCAATTTTGAGCATTCATTTTGCTGAAATGAAAATGGGATTATTTTAAAGGTATTTTTATAGCTATATATGTATATGTACTGACTTTTTGTGGAACAAGGAATGGTGTTTGGAAGATATTCTCTTATTTTAGAGCGCGTCATAATGTGATTTCATAAAAAAATTTTGAGATATATAACTTATTCTTTCCGAGATAATTCTTTTATACTTATGTTTTAAAATGGTTTTCCTATCCAAAAGTATGCAATTGTAAAATTTGCCAAATTTGGGCTATGTACCAAGCAGAAAATAAATTACCAAATGGACCACCTGTGACAACTGTGGGAGTAAGCAGCTGTTTTTAAATCTAAATCGCAATCCGCCGCCGCCTTATGGCAAAATTGCAGGATTTAGACGAAACTCCAGCATTAGCTTAGATATAATGCGCGTTCTCCACTAAACTCGACAGCTCTCGCAAAATTTGCCCAAACAAAGTTGTTTCTTGAAAAAGTGTTTACAAAATTTAAGTAACTGTAATCAAGTTTCGGGCAGTGTTGTATGCATTTTAGCTTACTGCTTGAACTTATATACATGTGTACTTAAAAAAAAATTCTTTTATAATTCCGTCTAATAATAAATGATTGCTGTATGAATTACACTTAGACGAGTAATTTGTTACAAGAAGGGTTTTAAAAATAATAAAAACAAAAAATAAAAAAAAAAAACTAGTGATATTAAGAACGAAAAATGAAGCCAAAATTTGTCAAACAAATATACTTAAGCTCAAATAAGTCATAAAACTTAATTATTTTGCAAATACAAGCACGCACTCAAAAAAAAAAGACAAAAAACGTATGTACACATACATACATACATATGTTAGTTTATAAGCATTATTATTATACAAAGAATTATATATTGTGGAAAACATTATTTTAAGATCAATATTAAGTGTAAAGAAACCTGTGAATACATATACACATATGTACATACATACTTACATATGTATGTATTCACATACATTCATACATTCATGTCGTTAAAATAGGCCAATAAATTAAGTCTATTCTGTTAAAAGACTAATTCATTTTTATTATACGTAATAAGCTCTTTAAATAAAACTAAGCGGATGCAAATGTTTGTTGTTGCGAAAAACTTTGTTATTTACATAGCTAAATAAAAATATATGTATGTACCATATAAAAAATTTGGATTTTTAAAAATTAAGATTTTTGGAATTTATTAAGCAAATGTATGTAGGTTAGAATAATCCTAAAGGAATTTTAATTTGTTTTTTTTTTATGTATGTAATTACTAAGTAACGGTTTCCGCAAACATAATTGAATTAATTAAATTTGCCTTAAGTGCATACACGCGTATACATACAAACTTATATGTAATACATACACACATACATACATAAAAGATACATACATGAATGCACATACAACATACGTAAATTTTATTTTTAACACAAAAACAATGTAGTTATTGTATGAACAAATGAATTTTTTGAATGTTTACAAAGAACTTAAGTACATAAATAGTATCTATAAACTTGTATCCGATGCATACTTAATTTTAATTACACCATTTGCAATGGAATCCATTTTAATGCCAAAATATGACTATCGTTACCTTAAAGTCTTTCATTCTCTTTCACAGCTTTGCACTTCTAAAATTTAAAAAATTAAAAATTAAAATTAATTTGCATACCATTGCATTAAATTAGCACCAGTTTTTGCTAAAAAAAAAATAACGTTTAAAAAAAGTCAACTAAAGAACTATAAACTTTATTAAGTTTTCCAATTTTAAACCAAAATTAGGTAAGTAGATAGCGCCTTTCTATGTACATACATAGTACATGCATATGTATATTGGGATAACGAGTTTTAGTATGTATGTATATCGAAAGCTTTTTTTTAAAACCAGACTTCAAAGTTGATTCGTCATGAAAATCCAAGAATATTAAATATTCGAAAATTGCACAAGAAATAATATTTTCTACACACCCTGTTCGCTTCATATGAAGATTAATAATAATAATAA